TGCATGCATGCATACATACATGCACATATGCATGCAACTGTACATGAGTACATGCATAGGTACATACATATATACACACACACATACATGCACACAGGCATACAGACATGCATACAACCGTTCATGCATAAACACACACACACATACATCCGTACGTGCGTGCGTACATACATGGATACATACACACATACATACATAGATACATGCGTGCGCAAATGCACACATACATACATGCGTGCATGCATACATACATACCTGTATATGTTCATACAACTGTACAATCATACATACGTACATATATACACACCTACATCCATGCATGCATGCATGAATATACATACATACATGCAAACATGTATGCATACGTATATGCATACATGCATACATCCATACCTACATACCTTCATGTATGCATGCGTCTATACATACATACATACATACGTACAGACAGACAGACAGACAGACACACTGACGTACATGCATGCATACATACATGCATAGATGCTTACATACATGTACACATACATACATACATGCATACATGCAGGCCTATATATATATATATATTCCTTAATACCTCCCTACCTGCCCACCCATCTACCTACATACGTACATGCATGCTTACGTGCAAACATACACATGCAGACATGAGTGCATGCATATATGCATATATATACATACATATACAAACATACATACATACGTACGTACATGCATACAGACATACATACATACACTTATGTGCATGCATGCACATATGCATCTATATTTAAAAAAAAAAAAAAAAAAAAAAAAAAAAAAAAAAAAAAAAAAAAAAAAAAAAAAAAAAAAAAAAAAAAAAACTGTGTACGCCCACGTTCACATATACGTGTGTAAATATATTATCGAGTAGCCAACTTACTTTGTGGGACCACTCCAGCGTTAGGTTGTTACACCAACCAGCGTGTGAGAGAGGAGGGATCACTGACCAAACTGCCAGGTATGCGAGCGTGCCAGCACTGAAAAGCTCCTCGGGTGATTGATAGCACTCCAATTCGCAGCCTGCTACGGGGGATGCTGGATATGGGAGGGAGGAGGGAGGGAGGACCTGCTTCGCATTCTAATCGGGGGGGCGACATAAAGCACGACAGAGCGAGGAGGTAGAGGAGAAGAAGGAGGAGGAGGAGGAGAGAGGATGAGGGGAGGGTGGGAGGGAGAGAGGAGGAGGGAGGAAGGAGGAAGGAGGGAGGAGGGAGGAGAGGGGAGGGAGGGAGAGCGAGGAGGAGGAGGAGGAGGAGGGAGGGAGGAGGAGGGAGGAGGGAGGGGGGAGGAGGGAGGGAGGGGGGAGGAGCAGGAGCAGGAGGAGGAGGAGGAGAGAAGAGCGAGGAGGGAGGAGGAAGGACGGTGAAGTAGGGATGAAGGAAGGACGAGAAAGGAGGACTTGAATGATTTGGTGGAGAGAGAAGGAAGAATGAGGAATGAAACCAAAAGACACCGCTACAGATGCTCCACTCCTGGGACGCGTTCTGACCAGAATTGTCGAGGCGAACCCAGCCGTGTCGACGAGGGCCTCCCAGGAGGCAAGAAAAGGCGAAAACGGGGCAAAGGCTAGGTTGCGGTATCAGAAGCCTTCCCTCCACCGAAAATCCCCGCCTCGGGATCCCCCCGCCTCACCGAGCGAGGGGTGCCTCCTCGCTCCGCGCCGAACCCAGGTGAGCTCCTCTATCATCTGCCGCGGCCTCTGATAGTAGAACTCTGACACGATGGGAGCCTGGCGCCGCGCCGCAGGTGCCGCCAGAGGTGCTCCCAGAAGTGTCCCAGGTGCCCCCCTTTCTCTGCCCAGGTGCCGCCAGAAGTGTCCCTGGCCCAAGGTGTCCCCAAGAGTTCGTCGTGGAAAGCCCACACCGCCCTGAAAATATCAATGGTCCTGTCTTACCCATTTTCGGCCTCTGGGGACCCTCGCCGGGCCCCGAGACCGTCCAAAAAAAAAACGACTCGGGCTGAAAAGAAGGTCCCGGGGAAGGGGTCCAGACATCTGACGGTCCACGTGGTGAACAAAATCCCTACGTCGGAGCCTTTCAAAAAGTGTACCCGCTGTAGCGTGGCCATATTTCACGATCGGCCAGTTGCTCCCGTCTTGCAGAATGGCGCTCTCGCCCAAGCGCGGGCCGCACTTCTGAATCGTATTCCTTCCTCGTCATTACCATCCCTCCTCCGCTGCCATTTTCCGCCTTACTCTGGGACTCCTGCTCCTCCCGCTTCTTCCACTCCTGCTCCTGCTACTGCTGCTCATCATGCTCCAGCTCTTCCTCCTTCTCGTCGGCCACGCCACCTCTTCCTGCGATATACACAGCTCCCCTTTCCGATTGCGCATCGAACGATGGGGTCACGTTGATGATCCGGATCCACTGGGACACCTGTCGGCGGATTGAGAAAATATAAGCGCAATGGGAAGGCATGGGTGAAGGGGTAGGATGTCAGACATGGCGCGAGCGCACCCACTCGTGCCTCCCTCCCTCTCTCGTCCCATCCCTCTCTTTACCTCCCCCCATCCCTCCCCCGCCTCCTCCTCCTCCTCCTCCTCCCCTCCCCATCCTCCCGTTCCTCTCTCCTCCTATCCATCGCCTCTCCTACCCTCCGCAGCCTCCCATCCGCTCCCCTCCATCCACCCCTCCTCGCCCCCGACGTCCTGAAACGTCCCAGCTGCGCCGCCCGCGCGGCTTCCCCCCTTCTCCCGATCGGAAGAAGCCCAAGCCTCTCACCATCACGGCTGACGCCCACCAGCACCGCGACCGCTCTGGCGCGGCGCAGGCCTGCAGGAAGGCAAAGGAGGAGGAGGAGGAGGAGGAGGAGGAGGAGGAGGAGGAGGAGGAGAGGGAGGAGGAGGAGGAGGAGGAGGAGGAGGAGGAGGAGGAGGAGGAGGAAGAGGAGGAGGAGGAGGAGGAGGAGGAGGAGGAGGACCAGGAGGAGATCGCGCTCGGCAGAGGCAGGCGCCCTCTAGCCCCCGTCGGGCAACCAGCACCGACGTAGTCCGACAGCACGCCCCGTGGCACGGCGGAGGGCGCTCGCACGCCGCAGGGGCGCGCGGGCCGACCACCTCGACGCAGCGGCGTGCACCGCGGCGGCCCTCGACCAACCCCGCCGAGCGCATCCCGCGACCCAGCCCACGCCCGCAGACCCGCCCTCGAGGGGCTCGAATAACAGGGCCTGGCCCGTGGAGCTTGCCACGAGCAGACCAGCGGACACGTCGCCGCCCGCACCGAGCGGAACCTTCCTCTCGTTCTCCCCCCTCATCTCTCGCCTGATGATCCCCACTCGTTCCTCCATCACGGTATGCCCCTCCTCCTCCTCCTCCTCCTCCTCCTCCTCCTCCTCCTCCTCCTCCTCCGCGGATGGCCCGCTCTGACAAAAGATGCAAACAAAAAAAAACTGAGGAGGAGCCCCCAGCGCCGCCGACATGTGGATGCGGATCTGGTGCATGCGCCCCTCTGCGATCTCGCAGGTGCAGAGCGTGTAGTCCTCTGACCTCAGGGCGCCTCCTCGTCCTCCTCTTGCTCCTCCTCGTGGCCGACACCCTTCGCAGACTCGCCGCAGCCAGAAGTTCCAGCGTCGCTCTGTCTGGTGTCCTGTTGCTTGCAAGCAGTAAGATCGGGCAACGGACCACGGCTTCCGAGAGCGCCCGAGGGTGCCAGCACACGGCCGACCCCCCTGGCAGAGCGAACCGCCGCCAAAGTCCCAACGTCGCTCTGTGTGGTACCCCATCGCTTGCAAGCAGCTAATCAAACAACGGACCGCGGCTCCCAAGAAGGCTCGAGGGGGCCGAGGCAGGCTGGCGGGCGGGAGTGAAGAGGAAGCGAGCGAGCAAGAGAAAGGGGGAGGGGAGGGGAGGGGAGCGTAAGGGTGGGGGCAGGGGAGAAGAGGGAAGGCGGAGAGGGAGGGGACGAGGGACGGTGAGTAGCGGTGACGGTCCCCCAGTCCCACTCGCGCGCACTTACGTAAGCGAGCTCCCTCGTGTCCGAGCCAGAGGTTCCATGCCGTGCCGACGCGATCGACGCGCAGTGATGCTAGGACGATAAGAGCGGCATGTGAAAAGATGGGCCAGAACAAGACGCGCACGGGAGCACCTCTTCCTCGCCTTGGCCAGGTCTCACGTGGGCATCATCAAAGCCAAGCGGCGACGGCAGCATCCAGCGCTCTTCCGGCGACGCGTCTAAGGGCCAAGCTCGCCAGTCGAGAGCTCCCGCGAGAAGTGGGCGAGGACCTCAGGGAGGCTCGAAGAACAAACCCGCAAAGCAGAGTCAAGGCTAGCAACAGTAAGTACTAGCATCAGTAAGTGCGAGCAACAAGGCTAGCAACAAAACGAAGAAGTACTAGCAGCAGTAAGTGTAACGAGGCTAGGCACGCATGCTGGCCACTGCACAAGAGGGGGAGTGAGGCGGCAGAGGCTGGGGCGACCGAAAAGAGCTGGTACGCGAGAGGGCCTCGAGAGAGAACTGCGAACGCGCATCAAAAGCCCGGGCTGCCAAACGGCATTCTCAATATCCCAGGTAGGGGCAGAAGTCTCCAAGGACAGCGCTGCGAAGGTGCATTCTAGTCCCCTCCGACAACATGAGAACCTGGCAGTGGAGTCGGTCCTGAAACGCCTCGACGATACATTCTGGCATGAGGGCGACGAGCGGCAGCTTCCAGAGCATCGGATATTCGACTGGCCAAATTTTGAGGGCATAAGACATGGCATCGGGTGCGGCAAAGACCGAACAATCCCAAGCTTCAGAGGGTGAAGCTGCACCATGTCATCATGGGACTGTCAGCGGAGAGATCGCAAAAAAGGAACAAACGCCACCCTTGGACACCCCTCTGAGGGTACCCCTCCTACTCCGCCTCTACTCTTCTTCCCTCTCCCTCCCGTCCTCCCCCTGGCCCTCATCTACCCCGTGTTCTCCGAGCTACACCCTTCAATGTCCACTCTCCGATCTGCACTCTCTTCAAACCCCTATCGCACCAGCTTCCTTCCCCTGGGC